GATATGTTAAATGTGAATTGAGATGTGAAGATGATGAATGATTGATATATATATATATATATATATATATATATATATATATATTTTATTTAATAGCAATAAATATATGTACAAATAATGATATAAAAATAAATATGTACAATTATTCTTATTGAAAAAATATATATACTATAACTTTCATTAATATATGAAATGAAATCTATGAATTCAATAGTTAAGTATTGTTATTGGAGTTATGACTTATGAGTCGAGGTTCTAGTCTTATTTTTAAGTATTTTGAAAAGAAAAACAAAATCTATTTTTAAATATCATCACTGACAATAATCGAGGGATTTTAACCCTATCAAATTTATAATCAAGTCTCAATGGGGCGCATCTGCATAGGATTTTGCAAAAAGGCCCAACCAAAAACTTAAAGATCTTCTTGGACGTGTTATAATATTTTAGGTTGGACCAGATCGATTGATGTTAAGAATATCCTCGTATAACTCATCTCTTCCGGTGGACGATTCTGCGTATGCTATACAAAGTTCATACAATTCAATTACAATTTACTAGTGAGAACACTGATTTTATGACCTATAGGGGATCGATGACCACGGTTCCTGACTTCATAAATTGGTCACTAGCTTCATCTCATCTCAAAGTATCAACCATGCCTGTAGGTATAAGAATACGTATAACATGTACGTCACTGGATGTCTTTGTTGCACATTCTTAACCGGACACAAAAATCTGCTCATATGCCATAAATATATGCTACTTAGCAGTGAAATAAAATTAATGTACCTCCATTTAGGCATTAATTACTTCCTTCTGGTAATGTAATCAATCTCGTTTTTGAATCATACACCATTTTAGTTTCACAGCTGAGGCAAAATATAACTTTGGATGGTTAAACTAATGATCTATCATAAATCATATTAGTTTAATGATAGGAAAATGAATAATATGAAGAGACAGGGAGCGGGTAAAGCAGGGGTAACTATTTTTTTACTTACTTTTCACATTTCACATTGTTGGTGGAATTGCCACTTGAAATCGACAGTATAGTCCCAAAGAAAGAGGTATTTTCAGTACCACAGTTAGGACAAGGGCCCTTTAAAGGTAAAACTATGTTAGTATATGAACTGGTTCAACATAAAAGAGACAGTGAAACCAAAATTGTACCTTTAAAATCAAAGAATCGTTTACAATTGCCCTTGTGATTGATTGAGCCAGCCACAGAATAAAGGGAATAGCGGCAAACCAAGTTAAAATGAAACTAAAAGGCTCTGGAATCTGCACTTAACAATTTACTACATTAGTTAAAATAATTAAAGGTATTACTATTATATTCCATTGCCTCTTGATATGACGAGGGCAATGGAATATAAGAGGGAACTGTAAGAGCGAAACTATTGTGTTGTGTATCTGATGGCATTCAAATCAAACTACATCTGAATAACCAATTAATAATAATGCTAGAGCATGGAAAAAGAGGGGAGCATACCTTTATAAAATATGAGACCTCAAATCCAGTCAACTCATCAAAGAAGAAGAACCTAACAGAATATAGGAAAAGAAATGGAAAAGGCAAAAATAAAAAAATAAAAATAAAATCAACACCTGATTTATGCAAACAGTAACTTTACATTACTTGGCCTTGCTACAAAAACAGGCCTAGAAAACACATATTTTTGCCCATCATTTGGGATGAAAACCATGATTTGAGAAGGATAAAAGGATTTTAAAAAAATGGATATTAATGTGAAAAAATGTCTTTAATTCTATGGTTGCTATACGACAGTCAACAGAGAACTAGGGTGTATTACAATGTGACAAATATATGATCAGCTTAATGGTAGTAGCAGGAATCAAATTTTCGCTAAATTAAACACATCATGAAGCCATGCTGTGCATACACAGAAAGAGGGTCACTTACAATCCTAGTGCAATCACAGTCGCTGGGA